CCACACTTCCATGATCATTTAAGTGTTGAGTGGGTTCCATGAGGGGTCTTTGGCATTTGAGAGTGTCGCTGAGCCTTTTATTAGCAAAATGCTAACGTTATTAATAAAATGACTAATTACCCAGAAATTATGTCTCAAACTTTTTAAACGTCACAATACACATTTTAATATACTATATACACGTAAGATGGTTACTATATATATGTATATATACACACATATACATATATATGCACTAGATTACACATATACACATATTAGATATGTATATGTGTAGGTATACACACACACAATACTTACATATATGTGGGCAGCTAGGTGGAATACTAGATAGAGCACTGGGTCTGGAATAAGGCCTCAGATACTTAGTAGCTATGTGACCATGGGTAAGTCACTTAACCCTGTTTGCCTCAATTCCTCATCTGTAAAATGAGCTGGAGAAGGAAAAGGTAAACTACTCCAGTATCTTTGCCAAGAAATGGGGTCATGAAAGTCAGACACAGCTGAAAAGACTGAACTACAAAAATATTGTGCATATACATATATGTATATACACAAAAAGCTACTCAAGTCTGGCTTTACAAACTCAAACTGATAGTCTAAAGAATTGAGTATTAGATCAGGGATGGACCTCAGGGACATATTAGCTGAAGCCCTTAATTTGCCTTGCCCAAGGTTATACAGGATGGCAAACATCAACTTTTCTTCACCCATTTGCTTCCTATGTCCCTAAAGCAATGATACAAGACTGTGGCTACCATCCCTCCCCTCCCCCCTCACTCCCTTTCTCTGAACTTTGGCTTCCTCATTTGTATGGTAAGGGACATTGGACTAAATGTATTTTTTAAGGCCCCTCCTCCTAGCTCTAAATTCCAGGAAAATCTTTGGCTATATTCAAGATTCAATTCATTGCTTTGCCATGTGCTACATTTTCTAGAAAACTTTCCAATGGTTGCAGAAGTAGTAACAAGAGACCTGGAACATGAACCCAGTTACCTTCTGACTTCCAGGTGCTAAAGCCGTAACTAGAGGTAGGTGGACGGTGGTAGTAATGGAAGTGAGGGGTGGGGTGGTGTTGTGACTGGGCTTAACCAGAGCGCACTTACAGAATACCAAGAATAATCCATTAAAATAAGAAGCTACCATTTTTAGCTTATTTCTTCCACTCACTATACTTCCTCATTAGCTGTTTCCCACCATGGGATGGTGTCCTAGGGTGTCTCCCCACCTCAAATGAATGTTTTAAAAAGTTGATTAAAAATACCTAGTCAGGCAAAAGGACTCACACGCACAAAGATATTTACAGCAGTTCTTTTTGTGGTGGCAAAGAACTGGATGCCCCATCAATTAGGGAATGGCTGACAAGCTGTGATACATGAATGTAATGGAATACTATTGTTCTATGAGAAATGATGAGCAGGTAGATTTCAGAAAAACCTGGAAAAACTTATATGAACTGATGCTGAGTGAAATTAATAGAACCAGGAGAATATCGTACACAGTAACCGCAACATTGTGCAATGATCAACTGTGATAGACTTAGCTCTTCTCAGCAATGCAGTGATCTAAGACAATTCCAAGGGAAGAACTATGAAGTCTAAATGCAGATCAAAGCATACTATTTTCTCTTTTCTTCTTTAATTTTCTTTCTCGTGGTTTTCCCCTTTGGTTCTGATTCTTCTTTTACAACATGACTAATGGGGAAATATGTTTAATATGATTGTACAAGTATAGCCTATATCAGATTGCATGCCATCTTGAGGAGGGGGAAAATTTGGAACTCAAAATCTTATAAAAGGGAATGTTGAAAGCTAAAAATAAATTTAAAAATTCAAAATTGTCAGTAAAAAAAAAAAAAAAAAAAAAAGAACCTAGCCTACCACTTCACCCAGGGCACATTTTTGTGCTGCTTGATTCAGGGGAAAAATAATTAGTTCCTTCTCTGTTGAATTTTCTTAATACTCTGACAGGAGGCAACACTTTTCCCTGTCCCCTCCCCCCCAATATAGTTTATTTTAATGCCCCAAATAAACCAGCAAAAAATTTTGAAAATTTCAAAATTTTATTAAGAATACTTAACATGTACAGGTAGTTTTAAATAGTTACTGTACAGACGACAACATCTTCCCTGGGTTAAACTGTGACACAGACAGGGCCTTGGGATCATATCTGTTACACAGAATACTTCATTCAAACAGAATTCATTGTAGCAATATCAGCAAAGCTATATTAATGCAGGCTGTTAGCCGGAACCAGGAAATAACCTCCGTAAAACTTGAGCACCTTTCCAAGGTCTTGTATTTAAGGACACAATTTCACTCTTCAATGTTGACTTAGGCAATCCACAGTGAACTATTTTTTGTCCCCCAAAACAATAATTTATAAATGATCCCTAGCTTTCAAGTTAAAAAAAAAAAACCCAAAAACATATCATATTGGTCTGAATATAGGCTGGTCCTTCCCCCACCCCCACACAAAGGTCACACCCCTAAAATGAAATTTTTTTGAAAAGCAACAAGTCCATAGGTATATACTACAAAGTAACACCAAGGGGAAAGTGGGCCTATATTTGTATCAATACAGAATCTCTCCTTTAAGTGGCCGTCTTTATATGGAACAGGACAGAATAATCTTTTTAGCAAAAACATCATATTAGATGATCCCCTTTATGACTATCCAATGCATAATGGAGAGCCCATTTGGCCATAGGCCAGACTAGAAGCAGATAGGATGGGGTTGGGGACAAAATGGAAGTTGGCCCCTTTCCCTCCTAGACAGCTCCCAGGCTAAGCTAGGTGGCTGTGGCCATGAAAGAGTCAAATGGTTTTCAGTTTCTTATGGGCAGGGACACTGTGTTAGAGAACCTTTACATCTCCATCCTAGCATAGCACTAATCAAATACTTGGCACTCAATAAACGATTTGCTGGTTTACTGCTACAGGGGAGAAGTCAATGGGCAGCATCACCTCAATCGTGAGCCCTTGGGATAGACCCTAAGAAACCCTTAAGTAAGGACTTCTGATACAACAGTGATTTGGGAATCCCTTGAACTATACCTTTTTCCTGGAGAAACACTAGCTGAGATTAACTGACAATTCACAAAGGCAAAGGACACTCTTCACAGTTGGTCAAAAATTATACGCAGTTGCCCTTCTGAGCTTGCCTGGGGCTTTCCCCCAGACATCTGTCCACCCAGTAAAAGTTATCAAACCCAGCCCATCCTGGACAAACAAAGCTATCTGGTCACTTTAATACAGCCTTGCTCTAATAGCTTTCCTATTGTAAATAACCACAACATATGTAATTTTCTGGTTGGTTTACCTGGGATGCAGCCTACTAGAGTGGGAAGATCAGGAGTGAGAAGACCTGGTTTCTAGTCCTGGTTCTGCTATTAAATTTGTTTCATGCCTTTGGGCAAATCACTTCCCCTCTTTTCATTGGGCTGGTTTTCTCTAAAATAAGGGGGAGTTGGTTATACTCAGTGATTTGAAGATTTCTTCCAGGTCTAGAGTTCTAACTTCTAAATGCTAACATTTCCCTCCAGCTCCAATGATCTATTACCCCACCCCACTATATTTTAATTTTGTTCATTTAAAATCATCTAAAATTCCACTAAATTTAGTTTTGTTTCTGAAATCACACTATTAGAATTCTCCTATATACTTAAGTTGCATTTTCTCAAGGTCATTCTCTATTATATATAGTTTCAGCTTATAAAAAAAATAAGCATTTCAGAGATTCCCCCCGGAAACAGGCTTCCGGATTTGTGCTCTTGCAATGCAAAGCACACAGAGCAGCATCTCTTGGCACCCTCTTCGTGCCCAGCAGCTTGAAACAAAGACTTTATAAAAACATACAAAAGTACCAATGTACGCCTGACTGATGGGGGCCACACATAGTGGTTCAGACATCAGCAGACACCATCTCATGTGATATATTTACAAAATAAAGCCCAAATATAATTTGCTGGCAGCAAACAATCAAACTGGTTACCCCCAAAGATTTGGGCATGGGTTTTTTTTTAAATGTTTTTGATCAACCAGTGATTGGTCATATTTTAAAATTGAAACGTGCCTCTGAACCTATCTCCCCAAGAGCTATGTATGACATGTCCTTCTGCTGACTGTACAAGAAAACTGATGGGAGTAGGGACCCTGGAGGATGAGTCTAGCTGAAATGGCTTCCCTTCCCTTTGGCCCTTTTTCTTCTCAGCTGGATGTCATGTGCAGACCGAATATCCTCCTTCATGGTAGTGAGCCATGGCAGTAAGATGAGACCCACTGAAGCATTCACAGCTGAAGCACTGAGATCAAGCTTCATGGCTGTGGTTTGGCTCCCTCAGGAAAGAAGATGAGACAGCCACTTACTGTGACAGTGTCCCCGCCCCACACCCAGCTACTCCACACTGTCCCAACGAAGGAGACAGGGAGGAGATGAGACAAGCTAGGACACAGTCATTGTGTCACTACCTTCATTCAACCTCCTCTCCTCATAACCCATTAAGAAACCATTCACAAGGAGCCCCAGTAACTTTGCCTTTCTGTCTTTGAGCTACAAAATTTTATTCCCATGGACAGTCTGACCAGTTTTTGTGACTATGTACATGAAAGAAACTATATAAATACAATACATACATTTCACAAATTACCTACAATATCAGGATGAAGGTGAAGACTGACTTCACAGACTAAATAAACCTTGCTCTATAAACATAGTTAGAAAACACAGTATTTTCACTTCTAGAGAAAGGGGAAAGGAATCCAGCAAACAGGCTCATGGCTTGCGGGCGGCTGAGTGTGCAGAACCAGGAGAGGCAGCTATCTCCCCACTCCCGTGGTTGGGCTTCCGGATCACTCTAATTCAAAGCCAGTCCTCTTTTTCATTTTTCTGGAGACACCCAGGATTTTGTCAAGGTTCTGCTGTACCTCAGGCCACAGGGATGTCTCCCGCCTTGGGCCTGGGGTTGAGGTAGGGATCCAACATCCCCTAGCTTCTGCTACTTCTAAGCTGTAGGGGTGAACAGCCTCCACTAAAAAGGTGACACAACACTGTCAAACATGAAAGTGTAAGAGATCCTACATCCTACATACAGTCTGCATGCAGACTGGAGAGGAATCCTGGAGCCCTCAAGGGCCACTAAGTATTAATCTTATTCAGTATCATTATATTGTGAAAAGGTTAGTAAAGACTAATAAGGTTACTGGATGCTGAGGGAAAAGATGGAAACTGACTGGACTTGTGAATTTAGCCACATGACATTTGATTTTGCCTGGGAGGGTACACATTTCTAGGCACTCAACAGAATTCTAGAATAGGAACTCAAAACGAAACTCAGGACTTGGACGTCCTATCAAATTAAAAAACAAAAAACAAACAAAAAAAAAGGAAAGGAAAAAAAAACAGGCAAGGAAGTCTGTCTGTGACACAAGGGGATAGAGATTCAGCATGGTGCAAGTTCACTTACAATTTACCAAAGGATTTTTTCTTCTTTAAAAATTAAAAAAAAAAAAAAAAAAGGAAAAAGGAGACGGCCAAGAAAGCCCCCCAACACTTCTTCCCTGGGCTCAGTTGTTTCTCTATCGCTGTCCAGCATCTCGGATCCGGCAGGCCACAGCAGTGATGAGAGCAGCTCCCTTCCCACTGCCATCCTCGGACTCCAAGAAGGAAACATCACATTTTGGAGCCAATTCCTTCACTGTCTCATGCATGACTTTTGCAAAACTGTAAAAGAAAAAAGAGACACCCAAACAACATCTTAGTCAGGCCCTGACCCATGAAACATACACTGACCAAAAAGCAGCAGAGCCCAGATTCTTCTAAATACCTAATAAACAACTCTGAAAGCAACAAGCTTATCCTGTAAATCTGCCACGATGATGCCAGCTGCCTATAGCCTCTGAGAGGAGCTAGAGACTGATTCTATAACATCCAGAGGCATATATCACCAGGCCTGACCTGAATTTTCATCTGTAATGTCTCTTACACTCAGATGCTTCCCAAGCAATGATGTGCAGACATTAGGGGAGGACCATCATGGACTACAATGAAAGTCTAAGAGTGGTGATCAGGTCCAACTCTAGCAACCTCTCCACCTCACAACCAAGGAAAGCTTCATTGGCTTTGACTGGGCTACAGCAGAAAGGCTTCTGAACCATCCAGATGAAGAGTGCCACTGTAATTAATCTGTGGGGACGTCCTTCAGGGAATGGAGGAAAGCAGGACACTCCATGGTGCTGTCATAGGCAGGTTGGGCAATGAAAACCAATGGCATAGCCTAATTTCAGGCAACAGAATCAGCCGGGTAACTGTCTGACCCTTCATGGAACAAAGAGGAAGTGAGTAAAGGCAGAAAGGGAGGGTGTCACAAGCAAGGGGGAACACTTTCTACTTGGTTTGGTGACTATCAGGATCCTACGAGTATTTGGAACTGCACCTACATAGAGACAGAGATCGTGAGTATTTCTGTATGCACTGTCTTTCCTGCTAGAATGTGGGCTCTCTGAGGGCAGGGACTCTTGTTCCTCTTTCTTTATACCCCAGGGCTTAGCACAGAGCAGGTACTAACCAAATGCTTGCGAGCTGAGGATCCACCTTTACTGATTGTGGTTCATGGCCAGAGTTGTGGACACTTCAACCAGGCACCAAGTGGTTCCAAACATCAGACAAATAAAAACTATGGTTTTTGAGGGATAGAAGGGTGAGAGTAGGGAGGGTGGAGAGAGGAAGAAGAAGGGAGGAGATGAAATGAAAGCAGGAAAGAGAGAAGACGAGACACGGGTAAGGATAGGAGCTTACTGAGGATGCAGCTTGTACAGAGTCCCATCGACACCCACAGTGATTTTGAGTGAATCCAGCTGGCGGTTCTCCCGTATTTTGTCCACTACGGCCGCCATGCCTGCACCACAAAGCTGGGCTGCCCTTCTGGCCACCACGGTGCAGACCTCTTTGACAATGATACTATCATCACAGGTGCTCTCCAGGCCCAGGTGCCGCAGAATGGTACGGACTTGCAGCAAGGCCAGGCAATCACTAGGGATAGGACAAGAAAGTAAAAATAGCTGGTTTCTAATAATTAAGTTAACAAGAACAGCAGCTAATAGCTAGCATTTATATAGCACTTTATGGTTTGCAAAGTGCTTTACATAGTTTAACTCATCTGATCCTCACAGCAATTATGGGAGATTACCCCCACTTTACAGATGAGGAAACTGAAGAAAAAAGAGGTTAGTTAAGTGACTTGCCCAGGATCACAGAGCCAGTTAAGTGTGTGAAGTAGGATTTGAACTCAACTGCCCTCACTTCTCAGTGTTCTCTAAAACTGAGGATCTGGGTTCAAATCTCAACTTAATCACTTAACTAGTAGAAGCTTTAGTTTCCTCATCGGTAAAATGAGGGTATTGTACCAGTTGTCCTCTCAGATCCCTTCTATATCCAGCTCTATGATCCTATAAGCTCAGCAGAATTAGCAAGGCTAAATACAATAGCATCCTAGAAACCTACAAGTTAGCAATAGTTCTGATATCAGCTCTGTTTTTTTCATGCTTTGTCAACCTGGGCAAGTCACTTAACCTCTGAATTCTTACTGTCCACTCTGTAACACAAAGGATGACAAACCAGAGTCCTTCTTAAAGGGCCCAAGTTTCATACAGCAACTATAAAAACACAGTCTATTTTGGAACTCAGACACAAATGTCAGTGGAACTTCAAGAGAAAGATTTATTTTGCCTTAGAATGGTTTGTATTTGCATTAGATGAAAACTTCTAAGACAGATATTAGCAAACTAAAAATTAGAAAATATTCTTATTTATTAAAGCAAGTTCCCCCCAAAGATCCACTTTTTTTCAGCTTCATAAAACAGTAAAGCTAGAGAAACTTTTGAAATCATCTACCCCAACCTTAACCGCTCCCCAATTTTTCAGATAAGAAGCTAAGGTAAGAGGCCAAGAGAAAGCACATGATTCGCCTATTGGCGTTCCTGGGGTCAGACAACTTGTTAATGGTAGAGCTGTAACAAATAAAATCCAAACCTCCTGATGCTCAAATCAAGGAGATTTCCATTTTACTGTGTCAGCCATCAATAACTCTTTATTTTTGTTATTTTCTAACTGGTATTTCACAAATTCTTCTCAATAACTCAATGAAATTTTGCTGCACTGTGGATTTGCTTTATTATAGTTTGCTGCTTGACACTATTAGTAAAGCTAAAAAGAGAGAGTTGCCAATTCAAGCCCAATGGCTAAACTGCTGGACCTGTATCAAGAAGAGCTCAATTTAAATTCCACCTCCAAGACATTTACTAGCTTTGAGACCAGAGGAAACTCAGAACCAATCTGGACCTCAGTTTCCTCATCTATTAAACAGGGATAATATTACCCATATCTCCTACTTCACAGGGTTACCCTGACATTCAAATGAAGTAATATATATATAAAAGCAACTTGCAAACTCTAAACCACTATACAGTATAAATGCCAGCTGTCCTCATCATTCCTGTGTGATTTAAACCACAACTCTCCTATTTTCTGGGTCTGACATGCAGGCTGAATTCAAGGATGTCACTCTGGCTAGCTGAAAAGTCAGCATATGTAGCAAAAGTCAAAACCCCAATATGATAGTGTTCCAGGTATGCTAAACTCATCTTATGTCTCTTAGCCATAAGACCAATACATAGTTGGTGTGTCTATGTGGTTAGATGACCTATAAAAATTCATTCACATGTGAGTTCAAACCCAAATTAAGCCACAATTAGACTGTGAAGTCCCACTGTCTACGTCATTCCCCAGCTCAAAAATTTACAATGGCTCCCCATCACCTCTGGGCTAAAATATAAAATCTATCCCCCAATCTTCCTCTACACATAATATACAAACTGACTCCAAACTAGCTTTTTCTAGTTATATTTCCAATCAGTCCCCTTTAAACACTGTCACACTAACTAGCTGTTCCCTCAAATGGAAATCTGATCTCTCCTCAATTTGCCTTTGGCTGGTCCCTCTTAACTAGAATGTATTCCTTCCTGGTTAGTCTACTCTTAGAATCCTCCATCTCCTTCAGCTCACGTGTCACGTCCCCTAGGAAATCTACCTTTGTTCCCTCTAAATTCTTTGTTCTGCCTCCCTCCTCCAATTACCTGGCATTTGCTTACATATTCTGTACCACTCCTTCCTGGTAGAATGCAGATGCCTTTGTATCCCCAGAAAGTAGTTAATAAAATTGCACTGAATCAAATGGAAATAAATGAGGACTGTGCCTTGGCTCAACTGTTTATCTCCTCCAATGCCCAGAACAGTTCTCTGCACAGGACAAAGCACTTCACAGGTGCTTATTATTCCCGGTTTGGCTTCTTTTGTAAGGAGTTAGCTGAGCAGCTGTCCCTCAGGTTAGAAAATGGATACTCAGCCCTACCCATCCCAGGCTCCACTCTCACCTCTCAATCTGAGACAGGAATTTGGTTTCAAATATCCCCCTTGTCTTCAGTCGTTCTGAGATCCGTCCACGAAAGAGCAGTCCGCGTTTGGTGAAGTTGATGAGGATGTTGCGGACAATCTCCCCCAGGTACATGCCACTGATCATCTTCTCAAACCTTCAGGAGGAAAATAAGAGAATTGGGGGGGGGGGGGAGGGTTAAGAAGTTCAGGATCAGTCTTCAAAACACTATGGTGGTGGAGGCTTTAGTAGGGGTGGGGTAGGGGATGAGTATTAAAGGAGTATAGTCCTATGGAGATGGTCAATCTCAACATATGGAAGAGTAGCTAACAAGCCTGCTTTCCCTAGGTCAAAAGAGCATACTTTACCTGGTTCCCACCAACTGCCCCATTTTATGGGTTAGCTTTATTCCCTAGGATCACAGGTACTAGGGCTTCTCTTCAAAATCATTATTACCACATACCCAGAACCCAACTGATGGCCATTCTGGATGCTCAAGTTCACCGAGGAAGGTGACTGTTTCCCTTTATATATTTCTAAGCATTTTGATGACATGTTATTGCTCATCTTTGTATCCCTAGCATCTAGTAGAATACCTTAAGAAACGTATGTTGAACTCCCTTTGGCTTTGATCATTCACCCTTATTCCTCAGAACCAGGATGGGATCCTGTCCCATGGACACCATCATTAAAGACCATCACCAAAATCAGGCTACAAACTAATCTTTCAGGTGCTTACCTCTGTTTTCCTGGGTTGAGTGAAAGTTCATCTACAGCCAAGTCAAATTCAGTTCGGATATCATCCAGGCAGCCATTATCCCCAAAAGCACCCCACTCCATGTTGATACACATCCGCCCCTCATCTCCTTCTACCAGCTCCACATTGCGCATCTCCTCCATGTAACAGGCATTACTACCAGTACCTACGAAAGGAGTGAAAACAAAAAGGAGCCAGAGCTCTTCCCTTGGCCTTTCCCACCCAGGTCTGCACATCCCTACACACAAAGGGATGACTTATTTTGGGATCTTACCAACTATGAGTCCTACTTCGCAGTGAGGGTCTTCATAGCCACAAGTCATCATGGTTCCCACGGTGTCATTCACAACAGCAACAACATCCAGATCAAATTCCTGCAGAAGCGAAATTCAATGTTCAATCCCAAAGGGCCCACTAGAAAGTTTGTCTCCCAACAAAATATTCAGGAGATCTTTTTTATGCAACATCAAATCACAGCTGTACCTTATATTGCTCCCTTTTGGAACATACTGGAATTTCAACCATTAAGAATGTCAGTACTGAGGCCCTGCACTATCTATATAACTTCATATACTACTATTTACCAACACCACTATAGCCAAGTTATTCTTACTACCCTTCTGACCTTCTGCATGCCACCAGAAAACTAAGTTTATGCTTATATATACTATAAAATTAAAAACCTGGAAGAGATATTAGGTTATAGAATGAAGAATGTCAGTTCTGAATGGGACCTTAGAAAACAGAATGTAACAACTAGATTAGACCTTAAAATATACAATACATAATGTGAAATAGCCCTTAGCAGACAGAACAAGAAATGTGGAAGTCAAAAGGGACTTCAGAACACCGAACTGAATGAGAGCTAAGATATCAGCTAGTGATGTCTCAAATGAGATAATACATGTAAGTGATTTACAAACCTCAAAACACTATATAAATGCTAGCCATTATAATTAGGAGTACAAGTAATCATTATCATCCAAGCCTTCATTTTATAGATGAAGTAACTGAAGGGTCAACTTGGAGAGGTTACTATCCCTATAGTCAGTCTAGTGGCAGGATTAGAATTCAACCCAGGTCTCTTTGATCCCCTAACCCCAATCTTAGAATATCCTCAGAATGTCTTCCTGCCCATCTCTAGTCTACTGCCTGTTTTCCATCTAAATCCCGGTCCTAACAAGGGTCAGCTCAAGTCGTACTCCTCTTCCCTGACCACTTCCATGATCTTTCCTGTTCCTGAACAGCATGCACATACTTCATTAAACACTTCTATCTCATGAGGGTAAGTCTCATCATTGTAATGAGAGTATGTCTTAAGGACAGAAACCAGTGTGGTATAATGGCAACAGTAATAATAATAATAAAAAAAAATTGTTGTTGTTCAATAGTTTAAGTTGTGTCCAACTCTCCGTGATCCCATTTTGGGGTTTTCTTGGCAAAGATACTACAGTGGTTTGCCATTTTCTTCTCTAATCCATCCCACAGATGAGGAAACTGAAGCAAACAGGGTGACGTGACTTGCCCAGGGTCACACAGCAAGTTATTGCCTGAAGCCTGATTTGAACTCATGAACATGAGTCTTCCTGATTCCAAGGCCAGTACTCTGTCCTCTGAGCCACCTAGCTGCCCCAATTTAAAAAAAAAAAAAGAGATGACATTTATATACAAGATGTCCAAAAAGTGTTTCCCTCAGTACAACTTTAATTTTTAATAGCTTAAAATTGTACTTTTTGGGACACCCTTTATATAATACTTTATAATCTACAAAGTGTTTTACAAGCTATTTGATTTGATCCTCACACTTTCCACAGATAACATGTAAAGTGTTTTCCACAATAGAATAGAATAGAATAGAAGCTCCTTGAGGGCTTTTTTGTATGCATCTCCACAGCCAAGCATAGGGAATGACATAGCAGACACTTAAATGCCCTTTGATTAGTAACAATCCTATAAAGTAAGTACCATGGCTATTATTATCCCTATATTAATCAAGGAGGAAACTGCTTCAGAGGTTAAATGGTCCCAAGTGTCCAAGGCAGCACCAAAGTGCCAAGTTTCTCCTGACTCCAAGTCCAGTGTTCTTACCACTACAACACACTACCTCTTATTGGACAAGTCTGACACTGACTACAGGTGTGACCACAATTATTAGGTCTCCTATGATCCCTAATAATGGATGACTGGAGAGTTCTCTTCCAGCTCAATCCTAGGCCTCTCTCTTACACTTCTGTATCTCTCCTAATACCTAGCACATAAAAGGTGCTCAGAAACAGCTTGATAGATTTCTTCTGATACATAGACTGATATCAATAGGTAGGGGGTAAATCTGTGCTAAAGGCAAGTATTGTGCCTTTATTAGAAGGCAAAGTCTTCTTTTCAATGTCTTCAATCCCAGAGGTCATCTCACTTCTCTCTCCCCACCCCATGTGTCCTGCACCAGAACTCCCTGGAGAAAAAAAGGCAGGTAAGAATTCCCTGTGGCTTGAGCTGGTTAGTGTCTTTAAAGAGTTAGTCTCAGAGACAGAGATGACAGAGAAGTAGGGCCTACTCCTAGAGATGGTTTCTCCTGGCAACTTCCCAGCTACCTAAGAGAAAAATGGTGAGAAAACCAAGAAAAGAAAATGTGTCCAAATGGAATGTTTCTTGAAATTTACTTCTTGTAGGGCTGGACCTTTCCAGGATCAAAAAACATGAAACAAAAACAAAACAAAAATAAGAAACACCAAAATCTATTCAGCAAAAGGAAAGTTACCATAAGTAAAACAGGTAAAAAGCTCTAGAAAGGATGGAAACAAGCCTGCAGAAAATGGAGATGCCAAAACAAATTAGGCAAGGTCCCTTATAAACAGAAACAATCTTTAGCAGGACTCTTGATGAAAGAAAAAAAAGACACAAAGTGGGTGCCTACTGCCTGAGGACTAGTTAAACCAAATGTGTGTGTGTGAATGTAATGGAAAACTATCATAAAGTAAGAAATAACAAAAATTAGGAATTCAGAGAAATGTGGGAAGATTTGTGTGAACTGATGTCGGGTGAAGTAAGACAAACCAAGAGAGTAACACACACAATGGCTCTAGTCATTAAAACCAGCCATTTTCTGATTCATTCATGACTCAGACACTTCAGAGTCTTGGAGAACAGATCATGAAACACTCCACGCCACCCTCCTTGTCTGAATTTCAAGGAAGGGGAATATGGGGTGTATTCAGTCATACTTTCTTAGTCACATCTGGAAATATGGTGTAATCAAGACTATGATGTGAGAATGAAAGATACCAACACAACTTTTAAAAAACCAGAATGTGAGTAGAAACTTAAATGTGCTGAAGATATCATGTGAATTGTTTGTTTTTAATATCTCTTTATTGACATCTGTTGTCTTATTGCTTAAATTTCCCAATTCCATCCCTTGTTAATGAAGCATTTTTTGTTACAAAAAAAAAGAAAAGAAAAAGAAAAATTCAGCAAAACCAATCAACATATCAGAAAAAAAAAATCTGACATTACAGGTAATATTCCATACCCATGCTAAGCAATAGGGGTGGTTATTTTAGAAATGACAAGTGAATTGTGGCAACTTTTTAGAACTGTGTTATCTTATATCTATGCAGGTTTAAACTAGCATTTTTTTTTTTTAAACAAAAAATGCAGATAGAAAGGAAGAATGTGAAGACCTGGCCCTTACTTCCTCATTATATTTAAAGCTATAAGCTGGACAGCAAGAAGTTATTTGATGCCATGAGAATCACATAACTTGTGTCATATTACCCAGGGGTGGCCAACACGTGACACTAATGGGCCAATTCCTGGTGTTTAAGGGAGATCCCCAACCTGAAGAAAAGAGAGCAAAGGGCCACATCAATTTCCTAAGGGAACATCAAGCATAGGCTAAGCCAGGTCAGCAGGAGTCAGGGTGTCTCAGAACTCCACAACCCAATAGCCTAACAGAGAAATAAGGAATCAGCAACTGGAGTGAAAAATGAGTGAAGCCAGGGAGTCTTGAAAGGAGGACAATCAGGGAAAGTGTAACTAAATGACAGAATGATATAATACGCCTCCCTAAATCTTTAGCCTCTATGGCAGCAGCATTCTTCCCCAAACCCTACTTTTCTGTTAGCGCAGTCATGTGCTTAGACCAAACCCTCCTAACTCAGCTGCACCTGGACACAACAGTCAGAGTCACCCACACAAAGACTGTAGAGCTACTCAAAGGGAGCATGTGTTTGCAATTAGCTGACACAGAAACCCTTCAAGTTCATGAACCTACATTCTTTTTATGTGAGACATCTCTTTCTTCATTGATCTCCACAGAAAATTCCCTGGGAATTCTGGGATAAATATGATCATGCAGTGTAATGCCCAGATCCATGCTTGTATGAGCCGTATGAGTGTGGGTGAGTGTGTGGAGACGGGGCATAACCAATCCTGAACCCATTCTTACCTCTCGCCGATGAATAGCTTCCTTCAGTAGGCTGACCACATCCTCTCCCTCACAGCCAGTTGCTTTGAAGCCCTTTGTCCATTTCAGGAGAATGCTCTAAAGAAACATCACAAATGAATATGAATAAGAATAGAAGAAAAGTCTTGATTAGTAAGACCCTGGGATGATCAAGGTCAGGATTCTGTCTCTGATACGCACACAAAAGACTTCTTAGGAGTGGGTCATCTTGTCCTCAACCTCCCAAGTTGAAGACATGTCCCAGATAGTTTCATTTCCATTTACAACCCACTATTTGTTATTATTATCTATTCATCTATGTAACATGAAACCATAGTTTCAACTTAGGCTGACTCAGCAAATAAGACGGACCTTCTAAAAGCGGCTACATAAAGCAGTATTTTATTTATCTTTTAGGACAGAACACCAGTAAGTAATTTTGAAGCAACCTGATGAACTGCATTGTTTTCTCTCTAATCCTTTGTTTTCTAATCAGAAAACTCCAGCCAAGAGTACTTTTTCATCTCTCCTCTTAGCCTCTAGATTAGAAAACTGAAAAGAAGTAGTATTCTCTGGCTGTGGCCAAAGGGAAACCTTCCTACCATCTAGATATTTTATTGATGGTATTCTCTTCAGAAGCAGGTAAGGACCCGAGGGTTTGGAACAGTGCACAAGCTGAGAGTCCCAATCAGTGGAAGCAATGAGTAAGTCAAAGACCTGGCCAATTCAAGTCAGGAAGACCTAGGCTCTGATCAGTTCTGACATATTATCCATTCCTATTCCTGGCTGTATTCCTGACTCTCCCAGATTTTCTCTACACTGCCCCAGAAACCTCTTTACCCAGGACTATACTAGAAATCCCCTCTGCCCCTGCAGTCTCTCCCTCTGATTGGCTGGTTCCTCCCAGAAAACCTCCATTTTAAGGAGGGTGTCTCAACCAGCCATGGCTTCAATTCTGACCCTCTGCATTTTCTCTACAAGATTCCCCCTACTCAAAACGGTATCTTCATCTCTCTTTTACGTGTTGTCTTCTCCCATTATAACGTAAGCTCCTTGAGGACAGGGACTGTTGAGGTCAGGACCTGGTGTGTGCATCCTCAGTGATTAGTACAGTACCTGGGGCACATAGTAAGCACTTAATCAATGTTTGTTGTCTGACTCGACGCATACTGGCTATGTGACTTTGCAATATGTGTCATTTAGCCCTCAAAGTGCCACGGGCAACTCTACAAGACTATTCTATAGCATTAGTAGAGGGAGTTTCCTCTTTGGGCATTTGCTCCACCAGTAAAATCAATGTTCTGAGCCAAACTTAAACAAACAAACAAACAAACCCAGAGCACTTGCAGTGGAAAGCTACTGTTTACAGAAAATTGGCCAATATCCTTCCGCAGCAGCAATATTAGGAGCTATTCAATTCAAGACAGCAAGATGGTGTCTAAAAGTGCTGGACTTGGAGTCAGGTGAGATCTGAGTTCAAAATCTGTCACATGACTCATTGTGTGACCCTCAGCAAGTCACTTAACCTCTATCAGCCTCAGTTTCCTCATCTGTAAAATGACAACAGTAACATCACCTACCTCATGTGATTGTTGTGATGACCAAATGAAATAATATATGTAAAGCACTTTTGAAATCTTAAAGAGCTATATAAATATTAGCTCTCCTCTTCCTCCTCCTCAGATGAATGCACAGGGACATTCTACAGTACCAATGGCGGCCTCTCCACTTTGGGATCACTTCTCCACACTGATGGACAGAACAGAGGGCCCAGCTAGAGAAGAAGATTCTTTATCTACCTCCTCCTTGGATGCCTCACCCTGGTGTGGATGGGCCCTGAGTTGGCATAAGTTCTGCCAGGTGATGTGGAAAGGCTTACAATACTGGCTGGGGGAAAACAAACAAATAAAAGCCATGTATCTATCACTGAATAGCCAGCCTAGCTAAGGGCATGGGAAGGCTCATCACCAGGTGACTGACTGGTCACGAGCACTCAGCCACAGCAGCTCATGAAGAAACTTGGAAGACAACCTGCATATCAGGAAAGAGGGTAGCTGACCCACCAAGAAAAGCACAGATCTGTGGAAATACAGAAGTGTCTTAGCAAATATAAGTCACCAGAGAGCCAAAACGTGTACGAACAAAGGCAGCCTTAATTACTGATGCTGCCCAGCCTTGGGAATGACTTCTTACTCTCTAAACACAAACTTCCTTCTTAAGTCTATTTGGAATTCAATTTTCCATAGAGGACAAGTCATTGGAAAACCTGTCTTTTGGCTTCTCTAACCCCACCCTTGAGGTTCCTTATATAACCAGTATGGGAGAAAAGACTCTGGCCTGTAACTTTCTCTGGATAACCATGACTAGAGAGGGGACTCTAGCACCTCTCTACATGTCTATAGGTCTTTCTACAGTCAAAAGTGAACACCTAGCTGATTACTTAATTATTGCCTATCTGGAGGTAAGAAAGTATATGGAGAATTCAATTAAACCAGTCAATATAGAAAGAAACTTCATTAAGTATGTTCTACAGCCTTAGGGGAACTGCTTGTCTGGAACTTTTCTGTCAATGTGCATAAGTGACATTGCCACAAAGTTGCTCTGAGTATAGATCCTGCTAGTTTGAATGGACCCCAATTGGCCTGCCATGTCCCAAAGTCTGCCACGTCCAGACTTGGCTGTAAACAGAAAAAAGGCTTTGAAACCTCCAGAGACTCATCGTGAAAATGTTTGTCTTCACATCAAAAAACACAAAATCTGAGTAGATGGCTGATTTGAAAGCAAAGAGGCCAGACAGCAAGCTGGGCCCAAAAGTGACCTTTTGCACATGGCTTAATGAAAAGACCTAGGAGACTACTTGGTTTGTGCTTCTGTATTTTTAAGGTAAGGACTACAGGGTGCAAATGATTCACTGATTTGGAGGCAGGAGGAGTTTCAGCTGAGTCTAAGCCACGAACAGACTTTTCCAGAGAGGGATGTGAAAAAAGCAAGAGTAGAGGTCAACAGATGATAATTAAGAGTCTTTCATCTCCGGATGTCAAAAGCCCTTTACAAACCTCAATTAAAGCAACCAGCCCAACCCTCTTAGTAGGGAGTTTCCTTGCTTCCTTTAACAAAGGATTGGTTGGGGCAACAGGGAGGGCAGAGAATGAACTGAGTGCTTTGCCCAAGGCCACCCACGAGTCAAGGGCAGAAAGCCAATCAAATCCAGCCTCCCTCACAGGGGAGCTCTGGGAGTTTCAAAGGAGCTCAGCATCAGGTACAGCTGAGGAAAGCACCTGTACCAAGAAGCCAGGGAGACCAGAAGGCCTGAACTAGGACATCTTCCTGCTTCAGTTAATAAGTGTGTATTGATTAGTTACAATTTATCATGGCTCCCTGGATTATGAAATGAAATCTAAGCTCAGATTCTACCCACTCTGCACTTCCTACCTTCTCTCTTTATATCTTCTTCATTTTTTCAAGAATATTACTACACCCTCTGAACATGATTCTCTCTTCTCTTCTACTTTTTTCTCCTGATCTCTTGGCTGGTCAGGCCTTTTCTGTGGCCTCTCCCTTTGAGAGTGGATGCTTTCATAAACAGATAGATGAGACAGACAGACATATACATACATCTATTAGATATAGATATAGTTCCAATACAGCAGTGGCAGTACTGGTATGGGTTGGGGATGGGAAAAGTTTTCCATAATATAAATACTTCTCCAAGGTAGGTACTAAATATGGCACAGTGCTTAGTAAAGTGACTGGCACATAGTAGGCACTTAAATGGTTATGGATTGAATATGTTACCCTCATTTATCAGATGTGAGCACTGAGGCCCAGAGAAAGGTAGTATCTTGACTCAGCCTCAGACAAGTTAATCGGCTGACAATCCCCTGACTCACAGAATCCCTGAATATTAGACCTAGAAGAGACTTTAGAGAAATCTAACCCCCTCATTCCATAGATGAAAAAGCTAGGTCCTAGAGTGGGGAAATGACTTGGCCAGGGCTCCTGACCCATTTGCTTTCATCTCCATTCCTTGACATACATAATTTCCTTCACCTAGCAGGGTGTTATCCCCATTCCACATAGCTTCAAAATCTAGCTTCCAATACACCTTCCCCTGGGAAAGCCTTCATTTAATTCCTCCTCTCCACCTCAAGAGCATCCATGAAATCCTTTATTATAAAATGCTATAGTCTTTATTCAATTTAATTTAACAAATAATTGTGCACTTAGTCTGGTGCCTGGCACTGTTTAATTGATGCTAGTTGACTATTTAAGGAACTGTACTAGCTTCTGATAATACAAAGAAAACAAAAACAAGGTAACTCATGTTCCTCTGCAAGCTTATTTTCTACTAGAGAAAGACTCTTTGGTCATTTCATCTTTCCAGTTAGTCTTTAAAAGATCATCAGAAAAGAAATCATACTTTGAACTTGGATTTCTTTCCATGGCATTTAGTATAATGTTCAGATATCAAAGGCATTCAATTAATGTTTGCCCATAACCTGATCAGAATAGTCAATCTATTAAGAGTCTGTTAGGATTTAACTCAAATCTAATATAACATCTAATCAATCAATTCTGGACAAGGGCTCAAATTCTAAATACAGCTTAAGTAAGTCTCTGCTCCTCAAGTTCCCAATTCTATAATTTGTGTGCATATCTAAGTACACTCATGTAGCCATACATACATCCCCTTGTGGGACTAGATGAACAGGTATAAAAATCCAAAGGATGGAGAGATTGCAGAAGAAGCTAGGCCAACCAGAAAACAAAAAAAAAAAAAAAAAAGGGAGAAATCTTCAATGAGAGAGAGAAATGTTAATAGCTAGCCAGTGATAACAACAACTCGAATTTCTTAAGCTTTGTACAAAGCACTTTTCCTTGTGACTCTGGGGGGCAGAAAGTACAAGTATTGACTCCAGTTTACTGATGAAGAAATGCAGGGTCAGAGAAGTGAAGGTGTCAGCTGGGACTGAGATACAGGTCTCCTGTTTCTAGGAAACCAAATCCAGCCATCTATATTCCATAATTACTCTCTTTTGGAGAATCACCATTAACTTTATTAAGGAAGTAAAGTAAAGTGTTTGTAGGTCACACAAAAATCACTTGGGATCACATTACCTCATCCAGGCTATTCTGTTGACAGGGGAAAGAGAAGGTGAAGCCCAGAGGCAGAGATACCCCTTTCATTCCCATGTACTCCAGGAAGTCCGCGATGCACTGGACAATGTGGTCGAAGAGCTGCAGGTAAGAAAGGAAGGAGTATGTGGGAAGCTGTCACAGTTTGTGGCACACATCTCCAGAATTCCTTACAGAAAACAGATTGAGAGTTGGAAGGGATCTTGGAGGTCTGTTGGTCCAAACCTTTTATTTCATAGATGAGAAAATCAAAGTCCATTGAGTTGTAGTAACTTGCTCATGGTCACATAGCTAATACATAGTAAAGCGAGATTCAACCCAGTGTCTTGAGTATAAATCTAGTATGGTTTTCCCACTATCCCAAAGATCAAAGTTCAGGGACCTGGGTGAACACCCTGCATCGGAGATATAGATGACTTTAAGGAAAAAAAAAAAGCTTTTCTAAGATTGAGAATGCAAGGGCTGGAGATAAGGATGCTGGGAAACCAGTCTCCTGGGGCATCCTTCTACCTTGGGGAGACAACCTGACTGGACAAAGCAAAAAGACTACAGCCCAACTCCAGGGCAACCACTTCCTGGGGACGTCACCCAAGTAGTACCAGAGGTAAAGGGAAGAATAGCTAACTGGTTGCTTACATAAGATTTAACCTGGGCCTCATTTAACTCCCTCACCTCATCCCCGGTGCCATGCATAACCTCCTGAGGAATGGCGTAGATCTTGTTATGCATTTCTACACCTCGTCTCATCCCATTCCGCACACGCACCAGCAGCACGCGGAAATTTGTCCCGCCAAGGTCAAGGGCCAGGAAATCACCTTTCTCTGAAATGGAAAATAATAAATGAGACTAATGACAACAATGATTGGGGGGGGAGGGGCGGGGAGACAGACCCTTTGGCAGTGTGATAACCCTTCAAAGCACTTTAACCTCTAGCTTCCTATTTGATCTTCACACCAGTTCTGCAAGGGAGCTAAAGCAGGTCCAATTAGTTACCCACTGAACAGTCAAGTCAATTGAGATGGTTGAGAAAAAGTAGGCAACTTTCTGATGGGTGTCACCACTCAGTCCAGAATGTGAGCAGGGAATATAAGGGCAGATAACAAGGAGTCAGAATAATTAAGGAACCAGAGGCAGAAATGTGTCAGAATAAGTGACTACACGGGCAGTAAGGAAGCTCAGAATAAATCCAGGAACCTGATAAGGCTTTCTGGAGAAAATGCATTTAGAGCTAGATTTTGGAGCACAGACGTATGTCCTATTGGTGGAGAAGCATGGTGGGGGACTGGCCCTGACCAGTGGGGGAAGCACGTGGGTATATCCCTGACTTTATCTAAGGCAGTGAATCTCAGGTATTTTTGCCCAGGGTCTATTTCTACAGCCCAATCCTGTCCATTCCTTAGCCTATTATGTACTCCTACCTGACAAAAATGAATGAATCCTCGTCCCCTACCTGTACCATCAGGTGTTGCACACACGTAAGTTGGCAGCATCTTGACAGAAGCACCAGCATGTGTCTCTTTGCCCAAGCCACGCTCCATCTCCTTTTTCATGTTCTTCTTCACTTCCAACAGCTGTTCATGGCTCAGCTTTAGTGCTTCCAGGGTCTTCTGTCGAGCCCGGTGTTGGTCTGCTAGACGGTATGCTACTGCTGTCACCATGGCAGCCCCTTTGCCACTTCCATCTTCTGAGCGGAGAAAGCGGACATCACAATCTGGCACCAGACGTCGGACAGCTTTGTGAAGACGTTTGGCAAAACTGCAATGGAAAAATGGATCAAACTGATTTGGGGTCTCTCTTTCCTTTGGCATGCCATTAGAAATGCACCTATGAAAGTTTATGACAAATCCTAACATGGGCACCAAAAAACGGCAAAGACACCATGCCCTCCTCTCCAAGAGGAGCAAAAAGATCACCCATACCAAAAGTTAGTAGCTGGCAAATGACGAGTATACAAAAGGTCATCCATTCTATTTCATATGCCTAGAGGATCCACCATGATATGCAAAAGGAAGGTGGATGTCACCTTCAAAAAATCTAGAGTTGGATTTGAACTCAGTTCCTCCTGACTATAGGGCCAGTGCTCTATCCACTATGCCACCCAGCTGCCCCCATCCCCTTCATTTTACAGAAGAAATGAAAGCTCTAAGAAGGAAGGAACTTGCCCACTGGCAGATCTGAACTCAGAACCAGGGTTACTGACTCTGAATCCAGTTTTGTTGGTGTTGTTTTTCTACTATAGCAAATCCTTAGGAATTCTGTGACCCCTTCGTCTGGGGCTGGCAAACTATGGCCCAAAGGCTGAATCTAGCCACTGCCTGTTTTAATGCAGCCCCAGCAAAGAATGGTTTTTACATTTTTAAATGCTGGATTCAAGTCTTTGGGCCATAATTTCCTGACCCCTGCCTTAATCTAACCTCTCGTTTTATAGAAAAAAAAAAAAACAAAAAACTGAGGCCCACTGATGTATGTGACTTACCACAGAGATAATCAGCAGCAGAGTCGGGATTAGAACCTAGGCTTTCCAACTCCTAGTCCAGGGCTCTGTCCTCTCTACCACCCAAATTCTGCCCCAAGTCAAGCAGATCAGCCCTAAGGCCCTTTTGTTCCCCAGGCAGACTTACTGTGGATGCTTCTTGTAGACAGAGCCATCTACTCCAATGGTGGAACGTAGCCGATCCTCGCCTTTGTTCTCCTTGAGGCGCCGAAGGACAGCAGCCAAAGTGGCTGCACACAGGTTGGCTGAACGGGTAGACACAATCTGGCAGATGCGATGTGTGGCCACACAGTCCTCCTGGGATGGCTGCAGGCCCAACCTGGTCAGAACCTCAAGGGCTTTCTTGATGCCATCTTTTTCCCTACAGGGATGAATAGTCATGAAAGCAAAGGTGCTGCTATGTCACAGGGTACGTGTAAAAGGGGCTGAAGCAAATGGTAGCCAGTAAGAGGTGGGATTTAGGATCACAGAGGCACAGACTGAAAGCTGGAAGGGAGCTTAAAGGTCATCTAGTCCAACCCCTTCATTGGACAAATGAAAAAACTGAGGCCCGGAGAGGGCAAAGGCCTTGTCAAAAGTCCCACAGTTACTATTTCAAGTTCTCTCCATACAATGCAGTTCCTTCATTATAAAAATTTTTTTTTAAATGTTTAAAGGGTAGATGAAAGTGTCCTCTGGTAATGAAGCTGTCCCCAATTAGCCAAGCAGACAGAAAACAGTCTTGAGAGCTCCTACTTCATATAGCCAGACTCATACTTGAATCCCTAGCTTGGGAGAAACTGTCAGACCTTGTACTCCAAAGACACAGCCTTGGAAAATAAGGGGCCAGAACCAAACACAATAATAATCCTGATGACATCTAGTCAGATGGCTTGGAATTTCTAAGAAAAAGCCTATAGTCACCTATGGAAGACTGACAGCAACAGACTTGAGTCAGTCCTACCCTTTATAGTATGGAAGCAAATGAAAAATCTCCTTTTTAGTTCAACTGAAAATAGTAAGAAATAAATATTTCTCATGTCTGAAGTCCTTTCCAGACTTTTTCCCTTTGGGAAAGTGGGTTAAAAATAAACCTAAAGCCTTCCTTTTAAATCAAAGATTTGTTAACTGAATTACGGGTGATCCCCAAACTTATTTCTTATGTTAGGTACCTGCCCTCCCCATCCCCTACTGAGCCATTTCCCTACCAAGCCAAGTAAAATGCCTACTTCTGTTACTCAGCTTAAGGGATAGCAAGGAAAGGTAAATAAAGCCTTTGCTTTCAATCTTTTCAGGGAAGGGGGTGAGAGAGGAGGAATGCTCAAGGAAGAAATTAAGTAGTGACTGAAATGTTGACCCCAAACTGTATTTTAACACATTACAGTATTTTCTTTGCTCAAGATTCCTATAAATATTACTTCAGACCATCTTGGAATAGAGAAAGCTGGTGGACTTATGCCAGTTTGGACATTTCTTCTCCTAGAATAGAAATGCTCAGATTTAGAATACTCGATGGAATACAATTGTTTCTGGAAGACTTGTACCTAAAACCCAGAGAATGGTATTAATATTTTTTTTTCTCCAACAGCAGCTACAAAATCTAACTCTATATACTGGGAGAATAACAGGTGAGGAATAGTAGCAGTAAGGTTGTTTTATCCACTTATTTGGACGGCACTCAGTTCTTATGTGTCCTCACTCTACAGATGCCTACTATAGGATGAGAAGTTACCCTCAAAAGTAGAAGAGGAATGAGGGGCAGAGTCAGGGAAACTTACCCTTCAATATCAGAAACGTCTTTGGTCTCAAAGTGGCCTGTGGTGAGGAGCTCAGGACTTAGTTTCCCATCAAAGAGCATTTCCTCTTTGGCCATCTTCACCAGGATGAGTCTCACAAGTTCCCCCATGTACATGCCACTGATCATCTTCTCAAATCTGCAGATACCCCGAGGTGTAAATTTATTAAAATCATATTATTTGTAAAATTCAAATGAGTCGTTATATGACTTCATGATTACATTTATGTATTATCAATTCTAATATTATGATTTGTAAATACAAAGATATCAGAATGGCAAGGTACCTAAAGACAGCATCATCTGGACCTTCTATTTACACATGAGGTAAGTGAAGTCCAGAAAGGATAAGTAAGCCCAAGACCACACAGTATTTGCCCAGTGCTTTTTCCACTATACCTTGCTACCAAGTATTCATTCAGCACACAAGACATACTCAAACCAGAAGTATATTTAAGTATTAAATTACATAGTAATAACAAAAGTAACAACACCCGAGCAACATAATGGCCAAGCTTGGCCCCAAAGAAAAATGATCTGCTCCTGCTTCTTTGCAGAGCTGTGGAACACTATGACTTTTTCAATTAATTATTTTTGCTGATCTTTTTTTTCTTCCTCTTTTTTAATTCTTAATGACAAGACATAGATTGCTAGGAGGGGCTGGAAAAGGGATACTGTAAGAGATGTAAAAAAAAGGTATAAAAACATTTTTTAAAATTACAGTATTGACAGAAAATACCATTAGTACTAAAAAGAAAGATCAGTGTGGAAAAGAGGAATTAAGGGAGATTCCATGGAAAAGTGATGGAGGACCAGGACAGTGATCTCATTCAGAATGGAAAGGAGGGGTGAGATAAAATTAACATTTTAAAGAATTAACAAGACTCGATGAGTGATTTTTGCTATGGAAAGTGATGAAGAATGAAGAGTCAAAGATAACTCAATCCTGAGTGACTAGGAAAAGGAACAAGAAATAGGGAATTTGGGAGAGGTTGATAATTTGACAAGAAAAGACAATGAATGAACCCAGACATACTGGTTTTGACACTAACTATAACATCCAGTTGGATATGTCCTACAGGACAGATTAAGGCACATACAGATGTGGATACAAAGGAGAGGTAGGTGAGGGGGCTGGACTGGAATATGGGGGGGACATTCATTTCAGGAGGAGAAAGTTGAAATCCTACAAATGGATGGATCTAAGGAAGAGAGATAATAAATCGAGAGAAGAATAGAGAACATAGAACTGAGAGTTTGGAACTTTTTACAGTTGGAGGATGAGAAAAAGTTAGTAAAGAAAAGCAAAGTGTCACAAGTCTAAGAACAGTATAAAACAATGCCCTGAAAGTCAAGGAAAGAGACAAGAAGCCAGGGAAGGGGTCCAGGTCAGAGAGCAATCAGGTTTTCAGTCAGTCCTTCCTTTCCATGCATTTAATAGGGCAGGTGAGATTTACGAATGGGAGGGCCACAGGATTTTGAGTTGAGGATTAACTAGCCTAGATTAACTAGTTTAACGCCTTCATTTTGCAGATGACAAAACTGAGGCTCAGAGGTAGGGACCTGCTCATCTTCCTACTGATAGTAAGAAGCAGAACTGAGATTAAAACCCAGGTCCTTTGACTCCAAAGCAAGTGCTCTTTCCACTGATCTACACTGCTTCTTCAGTATGTCAGGCCACCCAAACTGCACTATCATTGACTGATTTTTTTTTAATCCCCCAACAAGAGTCACTCTCACCTGAGGCTTTTAACATCCCTGATATTTGAGTAAACTAACCTAACCTTTCTGGCCATGACAGAGAGCAGTCATAGGGCAAGGAAACTAGTAAGAGAATTTGATTTCTCAACACTAGGTGCCACTGTTTTCTACGCTTTAGAAAACATTCTAGTCTGGATAAGAATGACCTCTTTGAAGGTGGAAACAATGTAAAGATGCCCAGCCTTTTACAATGTCGAGGACAACAAAAAAGAATCCCCAGACTCAGCTAATGCTTGTTAGGAAGAGGAAGGGGCCAGGGAACTATTCACATAGTAGCTCCCATAGGTATGTGCCTTCTCCCTCCTGAGCACATCATGTTCCAGGGTCCACTGGACCAGTAGGTACTGGTTTTCACAAAAATCAAGATGGGCTGTTTTACAAAAAAAGGGCGTGACATAGGGAAGAGAGTGCTGGAATAGGGGGAGGAGGATCTTGGTTCAAAGTCTGCCTCTGCCACAGTGCTACCTGAATGACCTTTAAGAGTTCACTTCCCTTCTTATCCTGGTTTCCTCATCTGTCAAGATGAGGATGTTGGACCAGCCGATTCCGAAGGACACTTCTTTTTCATCTCTGCCCCTTCTCCCCATCTCTACATTCAAGGATTCTATGATAGGTGTGCTGTGGCAATCTTAGTAGATATATCTGACAGGAGGTAAGCTTACTGTTAGAAGAGAATATGTAATGAATCCTGTTGCAAAACAGAGAATCCATTAATACAACAAATAAGCACACACCACTGGATCTGTTTGTTCAGTTTCAATATTTGTATAATAGGGTTCCTTAAAGCAAGGAGACCCCACCGGTGTTCTCCTCAGAAAGCTTCCCCCAGGCAGACAAAGATATAAGTTTAAAGCAACACCAGTTAAGAGCAATATTAGGGATGGACTAAATATGAGGCAAGACAGAAATAAACTAAAATTTTTCTTCCTAACCAAGACACCAAAACAAGGCAGTGCTTATTCAAAAGAAATTTTTTTTTTACTCTTCTTGCATTGCCTCCATAGACTGTAGAACATATCTCAGAATATCCTTTACACTGGCAAACCTCATTTACTTGATTGGGGATTTGCTTTTTGGAAACAGCCACAAGTCACCATTGGATCCAGAGTAAGAAGGAACTTAAGTCAATCTAGTCCAACCTCTTCATTTTACAGATAAGGCAACTGAAGGGAGACAGCAGATGATTAGCCCAAGGTCTCACAAGTGGGAAGGCAGAAGACTAGGATTTGAACCCAGAAGTCTTCTGATTCTCAATGCCATGCTATTTCTACTATAGGACACTTAGGCTTTTCAAAGAATTTAAGGTGAATGTAAGAGCTTGGCAAACCTCATAGCCTGATACAAACACAACTGCTGTGTACTATCACAGGTGGGAAAAGATCATCTTTGGTCAGAAACAAGAATAAATACAAAGAGATATTACCAGTTTTTTCCTGGATTTAGATAAACAGGTAATTCCAAAAAGAACTAACTTCACAAATATTTGAAATACACTTAGCTCCAAGAAAAAAAAAATTTTTTTAAATGCCCCTTCTCCTTTCATTAAAGGGATAGAAGATCAGGAGTGGGGTACATAGCTTGCATGATCAGAACTGCTTTTTTTCTCCTTTCTCTTTTAATCCTTGTTGCAATATTGGATGTGCAGGGGCAGGGATTGGGGTGGGGGAGATATTAAAAAATGAATGTGATGTTAAAAACAAAAATCATCAATTAAAAAAAGATAAAACTAAAGAAAAAAACATTTGGGAAAATGTCAGCTTTGTTGAAATACATAAAGCGCCTTCTCAAGGGCTACTGTGAAGAGGACAATACCTCTTCAGAATGTAGGCAGTTTAACACATTTATCATAAAAGTGGCTTTACAATCATACACCAAACAAAGGGATCTGGCACCACCATGGCTGAAAGAAACTTGGCTAATCCAAGTAGCGGTGAAAAATACCAATGGGTAATACAAACTCTTTTTGGCCCATGTTTCCTTTAGCATGAAGCCTTAGAGTATAGCCAATGTGCTGGAGACCACCCCACATCCTCCAAACTACATCCTTATTAATCACCCAATTGTGAATCCTCCCCATCCCCCAACCTGAACACACAAAGAAAGCTGCTCACAATTGCTTGCCCGGATTGAGTGAGCCCATATCAATCTCCCTGTCAAATTCTGTGCGGATATCATCGAGTACTCCATCATCTCCAAAGGCACCCCATTCCATGTTGATGCACATCCTCCCTTCATCTCCTTCCACTGTGTCAATGTACCTCATCTCCTCCATGTAGCAGGCATTGGTACCAGTCCCTGGGCAGAGAGAATCACAGAACGTTAGTGCTGTAGAGATCATCTAGTCAAACCCTCTCATTTAAAAGAAAGAAACTGAGGTCTAGAAAGAAAATGGATTTGTCCAAAGCCATCACTAGTAAATGCAAAACCAAAGGGCTACGGTTAGAACATTGGCTTTTCTATCCCCTCCAACTATGTTATCTGCTCCCTGGGTAAGAGAGATTCTCTGTTATGTCTAATATGAAATACAGATTCTTTTGTTTGCTATTTAAAGCTTTTCACAACTGTACATAGCCAAAATGAAAAAGTCTTACACTTTCATGGCTTGAAATTGAACTGACTTTTGGAATATTCTGTTTTAACTTATGTTCTTGTAGCCCAAACATATACATAGTATAGTGCCTAGAACACAGAAGGTACTTAATAAATGCTAGTTAACTGATCGATTATAGAAATTGAAAAACAGAAAGAGAATGATTGTCACAGGAAGACCTTTGCTTCTCCTCCAGCTGCTAGCACATTGCCTCTGACATCAACTTCCATTTACTCTGTAGGTATCCTCTACATACACCTAGATATCTTTGGCTCCCCAGTTAGAATGAGAGGTCATTAGGAGCAAGGATTGTTTTTTACCTCCTTTGCATAGCACAGTGCTTGGCACATAGTAAGCACTTAATAAATGTTTTCTGACTGAGATGGGAATATAGAGTATATTCAGGGTCTAAAGGAAATGTGGTTTTGGACAACAATAAATTACTAGGTACCCCTGACATGTGGTCGGTCACTTGTTCTGCCTCAAATATTCCCTATTAGATTGTAAGAACATCTATCAATGTGGAATTAAGTGTTCATATACTATATGAAAGTAACATAGCTTTAAAAAAAAAAGAGGCAAAAGCCTCTCCTTCTATCATTCTGTCCAAAGGCAAGGTTTGATATACCAAAGAAAGTGTGGAGAATTGTTCAAGAGAGCAGGAGCAGCAAGATGTTTCTATTCCCTCACCCAACTGAGTCCATCAAATCATCAAAAATAGTGAATGAAAGTCTGAGGCCAAATGAGAATAACTGCTACTCCTGGCTGGGCTCTGATGGGAACTCACCCACAATGAGGCCGATCTCACAATTCTGGTCGTCATAGCCGCAGGTCATCATGGTACCCACGGTGTCATTTACCACAGCCACAATATCAATGTCAAAGTCCTGCAACAATAAAAGGCAGATGTGCTGCTTTTCTAGCTACCACAGGGACACCAAGAACCTGGAGAGAAGGAAAGATAGCATCTGGGCAGAAGAGCTGAAGGGGGAGGGGAAGAATTCTTCTCCCTGGTGTCCACAAAAGTGACCACTTAACTAGGAGTCAGAAGACCCAAGTCTGAATCCTGGTTGTGCATCAATGGCTGCCTGTGTGAACTTCATCTCCTCTAGGCTGCAGTCTCTTCTGTAAAATAAGGACGCTGGACCTTTTGGTCCCTTCTAGGTCAAGATTATGAGCCTATTATCTTAAGATCATAAACTGAGAGGAATCTTTCATCATTTTTCTTCTAATAGGTCCTTCCCTGGTCTCCAATTTTCTGTTGCTTTCTCCGCCACACACACACATCCCTTCCTAGTTTTATGAGTGAGGAAACTGGGGTGTTCCTCTCATCTGTAGAGTCCTCTCCTTCCCTTCAGGCCTTCTTCCTAACTCCCTCTTGCCACCAAGCTGCTTTCCTGGCTTGTCACTGCACTGAGAGAAAAACCTCCCATGTCTGTCTTTCTGCCTCTCCCTGAAGAGTGAGAACTAGGAGGAACTTGAGATTATCGTGTTCAAGCCCCTCATTCTGTAAATCTAAGACTCAGATAAGTTAAGTGACTTGCCTAAGGTCACCTATGCTTAAAACAGAAGAATTGGGATTGAAATCTTTCCTCTACACTAAGATGCCTTCATAAAATCATCTACATCACCAATCAAGTCTTCAGGTTGAAGGGATCTGGTTTTTCTATGCCATATAAATATATTTATAAATATGTAATCTCTTAAGCTCACCTGGAAATACAAGTCATTTACTATGTTTAAGCATCTCCTACAAAAATGCTCTGTGAGGTCTACAGAGGGTTCTCATACTCACACTCGTGTGTTTGTGTATATATGTGTATACGGATGCCAGAAGCAAGGGAAAAGCTATACTTTCAAGTTCCTTCTCTAACCCTCTTCCCATTGTTTGTTTTCTGACCATAAAACTCATTCACAGAGCACTCAGCACTCTCTCATATTCTCCCCACCAACGTTAAACTCACCCCTCGCCTTTGGATGGCCTTCCGGATCAGGGACACAACATCTCTCCCTTCTACACCACTGGATTTGAACCCTTTAGTCCATGAAACCAGGTAACTCTGGAGAAAGAGAAAAGAATGTGTAGACTAGAATACAGAAATAAATACCCCAAGGTCAGTGCCCTCAAAAAAAGCAGGAAACCTGAGGCAAGAGATGCTATGTTTAAAGGAAACACTTCTCAGTAACTAGAACAAGAATGATGTCCTTTGTAGCAGACATGTGCTGGGATCCGAGAGACACTGGAACAGGAAAAGAAAGAAAACAGAAAGGCGAGAGAAGGAAGAAGTCCATCGAGGCTATCTTTACAACTGGTATAACCTGCAGTGAGCAGGTGACTAATACCTTATTTGATTACTTTAATACTTTGATGGGTCTCATTGATGTAGGCACTGCTCTTCCATTCCTGCAGAGAACATCCTATCTATGCCTTCTGATCTCGTGTGATTACTGTCCACGGCCTTCCATGAATCCTCCAACCCTGGAGGCCTTCCTCTGGCTCTTTCAATATTATGGGGATACAAGTGTAGCACTCAGGGCATCCCACGCCATGCCATGCCAGGGTGATAAGCCTGACTCCTTTTTCCAGGTCAGATGTGTTTCTGCCTTTCATGCCTTAGTGAAGTCTTATTGCTTGACAGTAAGATCACAAAGGAAAGTAGGTGAAGTGGGAGAAGATCATGAACCCAGAAGGAAAGAATCCACACAGAAGAAATTTTGCTATGACTCCTGATACCCTTACCTAGGGGCCTAATCTAAAGAATTCTCTCCTATTAGCCAGAATATAAATTCCTAAGCTTTCAGGCAAACAGACATTTTATGTATATTACAGGCAGGGAGAATCTGCTTGCCTTTTCCCACCCCCACCCACCCACCACAACTGCCTACTTCCTTTCCTCAAGGGCCTCCTGATGGTCCTTTACCTTCTTCCTTCTCCCATTTCCCTACTCCTGCTCTAACCCTCCACCCTTACATGTGCCCTCATGCCAAAAAATTGCAAGGTGAGATGCTCCAGAGCTTGTCTTACCTCATCCAGCTTGGTCTGATGGCATGGGAATGAGAAGGTAAATCCCAAAGGGAGTTTCTTATTCTTGATCTGTAGCTTGTCCATGAAGTTGGCCAGGCATTCAGCAATATGGTCAAACAGCTGTAGATACATGGGGTTATCAGGGTAGAAAAAAGTTATTTAGGTTCATAGGATTTCCAAGTGGAAGATATCATTTAGTTCAGCCTTTTCATTTGGAAGAGGAGGAGACTGGGCCCAGAGTAGTGGAGGCTGTGGCCTTTTAACTTGGAAGCCCAGCACTTTTTCCACTGCACCTTCATCATTGTCCAAAACATCCTTGTGAGTCAGAGACAACAGTAGCTTTGCCTCATTTTTCTCATTTTAAAAAGAAAAACTCTGGTACAGAATGTCTAGAGGTCCTTAAGTTTTGGACACGTCAAGTTATTCATAAAGACATGGATAAATCTGGGCTGTCCCTTGGTGCTCTTATCAAAAATAACCCACGGCTAGATGGGAGATTGGTCTGATATACTGTGGCAGCTCTTTTCTTCTTCTGTTAAACTTCTTGTTGCCCTATCCAATTAATTCTCTTAATGCCACTAAGAAACATTTAGGGCAAAGCCTTCCCTTCACCCAACTGCCAGATGAGTCATTCTTTGCTGGCACTGCTTTGGCAACCCATCAGAAGACAGTATAATCATTCATTTCACCTCATTAGTTCCAGGGAAAATGGCATGCTCACCAAAGGGCAATCTTTATTCTTTAACTTTAAAATGCCCCAATCAACACATAAGGACTCCTTCTGAGCATGTCCTATAGGCATGGAGCCATACAACATTCATTCATTCATTTAAACACTTATCAAAGGATCATAGATCTAAAAGCTGGAAAGAACCTCAGAGGCTTAGAAACAGGTGTCTATTCCAGCTGCCTTGTTTTACAGATGAGAAAACTGATATCCAAGGATGACTTATCTGGGATCAGAAGAAGGATTAAGTTATCTATGGTATGCAGAGTACTATGGCTGGGGTGGGGGTGGGGGGTGTCAAGAGATAAGTTTAGATAAGACAATCTCAGAGTTCAGTCTAGTAGGGGGAACAAGATAGAAACAAATAACTACAATATACAACATTCCAGAATAAAATCAGGGGAAAGAGGGACAGCTGGGATGGTAAAGAAGGGCTCAATTATTGCATAGAGTAGTTCTCAGAGGCCTTGGACACACACTATGGAATTATACCCAAGTCATTTAATCACTCAGGTAACTATAACACACATTCTTCGTGTTAATTACTTCATAGTGGAGCAGAGTGGCTAGGACAGGGAAGAGAGCAGGAAATTCTGCTGACTGGCAGAATTAACCGTTTTTTCCTAGAAGAGCAGTGAGCAGCAGCACAGAGGGACAGGCATGAAGACCCAGGGTTCAAGTCTTTCTCTCAGAGTTCCATACTTAGCTGTGTGATCATAGAACACACTGCTCAACCTCTCAGTGCCTCTGACTACTCTTCTAAGACTATACATTACTGGGTTTTTTTCATAAACTTCTTCCTTGTGGTAGATTTATTTGGCTGCAGTTACCTACCACATGAACCCAAAAAGGTGACATTTCTCCCCTAGCGTCACATGCCAATTGCTGATGTGTAACCACAGAGCCTCAGGAGAAAGGGTGCTATCTCAGTTGCCTAAAGTTCTTGAGGTTCCTGCTTAAAGATAAGAAAGACTCAGTGGGGCTTTCCCTTGCTTACATGACATTAAGACTCCCTATTCTTGCATCCAGGTAAAAGCTTAACTTATTCAAGGGGGAAGAAATAAGGAAGCTCTAAAAAGGATTCCTGCTGCAGGTATGGGTGGCCTCTGAGGTTCCTTTCCACATGTGGTCTTGCAAGTGTCTACATGCATTTGGGATAATGGATTTTGAACTGCAGGGGTCCGCAGGAATCCTCTGGTTCAACCTCCTCATTTTCCAGATAAGTAAACTGAGGCCTAAAGTCAGAGTGTGACAGAGCAGGGTATTTTAACCCAGGTTCTTTGACTTCAAATCCAAGCTTCTATCCATTATACCATACAAACCCTCTAACTGTATGTTTATTATTGTTATTTCTGCTTGGGTCTTATTCGTCAAGAAGGAAGGAACATGGTCGTATCTAAGTTTTATTTGTCCTCTACTGCCGACCACTCAGCTCTGCAAATAGCAGACACTTAATGTGGGTTGAAGATAAACTCTGAAAATCTATAAGCAAGATTAAAGTGAGCAAGGCTAAACTGAAGTCTCCCTTCCCACCATACTCCACATTCCCTATAGTAGAAAGCATTTAGAAAAGATACAGCAAAACTGTGAAGTTCTCTCTCCCAACAACAGCCCTATAAAGCCCTTTCCCCCTCCTAGCTCTACCCACCCCACTGGTACAGTCATGGGGGTATAAATCCCTTAAGAAAGAGGCTTATGGATTCACCCTACCCAATGACATATGTACTTTAAAAGAAGAAAGAGGAGGTGGTGGAGGGGGAAAAACAATGAAAAAGATTAAGTGAAGGGAGGAAAGTCCTAAAGCTTGAGAGCTGGGGCTGGGAACAGAGCCAGAGTTAACAGTTTTGTATACCTTCCTGAAATATAATTTATTATAAATTTATCATATTTATATTACATGTAGTATATACTTGGGCATCAGTCTTCTTGTACCTGACCCAAAAAGACCACAGAGTGACCCAGTTGGCATTAGTTTTTCTTCTGGGAGCACTGGGTACAGTACAGGCTGCTAGATTTGGAGTCAGGAAGTCCTGGATCCCACTTGGTAACTGTGTCCAAGGGCAAGTCATTTAACCTACAGAGGTTAGCCTTGTTTCCTCATCTCTAAAGGGGGATTTATGATATCTCTACTAACAAGACTGCTGCAAGGTTCAAATGAGGTTAACTCTGCATAAAGTTGTCTTGTAAAATAAAGTGCTTTGTAAATCAAGTGTTATACTTGGCTATATAATTTTAAGCATATAAAAAGGTTTAGTTCCTCCCATGTCAAGAAATGGATAAAGAGGTAAATATAGTCCCATTTTCTACCCCCACTGCCCTTATGCAAAGGTGGGAAAGGTGAAATGTGGAAATTCTCTACCTTGAAGATGACAGATACACTCTAGCAAGTTTTTAATTTACAATCTTAAAGAATTCTGTGGATTTATTTAACCCATGTGTCACATAGCTCTGGGTTTGAACCCAGGTATTCTTGACTCAAGCCCTCTATATACTTTACCAACCTATCCTATTAGAACAGCAAGAGCGCAAATCCCACCCAGTTCTGCCATTCATTGGCTGAGTGACCCCAGATAAATCCAAGTTTCCTAAACTGTAAAATGAGGGGACTGAACTATAATCAACATTTCTTAAACTGTGGGTCATGACCCCATTGCCTTGAGGTTCCTTCCAGGTTTGAATCTACAATCTTATCATCTAACAAAAACAGCTGATTTTTTTAAAAGTTTAAAAAAAAAAAAGGAGAAGTGAAACAAATTGGGCAAGCTGATACAGCCAGATAACTGGTGAAAGTAGAACTCTAGGAAGGGAGAAAAAAAGGAAGTGGAATGGTGTTTACCAGGCCAGCCTATTTAGCCTTGACTGCTCATCTAAAATCCCACCATCTGCAAGAGGCCTTTAATAGTCCCCATTAAGCCAGTACCTTCCCATCAAGATGTCTCCAATTTATCCTTATTCTCTCTTTTTTAATGTTGTCTTTCCCATAAGATCTTCCTTTATCTGATTGCTCTTCCTCAATTCCCATTGCTAGCTCATAATTCACATTATTAGACTGAGCTCCTTTGAGAGTTGGGTCTTTTGCCTTTCTTTGTATTCCCAGTACTTAGCTCAGTACCTGATACATAGTAGGAGCCTAATAAATGCTTGTTGACTGGCTGGGACTTTGAGAGTAAAAGAAAAAATGAGGGGAAAGGATAGCAGGAAGGTTCTAGAACAGGGACTGCATCTCCTCAGAAGTTGAGGGCTTTCACCGATCTAGATTTCTAATAACTGTCATAAAGAGGCCACTAATATTACATGGAATAATTGTCTCTGCTGAGGTTCTAGAAGGAGCCTTTTTAGGAAGCTCCAATCCTTCCCCCCCCAAAAAAAGGATAAGAAGTCAAAATGGGAACATCTCCTTTTCCACCTTGGTTCTGAGATCTGATGATTCCCCTCTCCCCTACTGACTCTAAATAGCTACAGTGATTCTGAGATTCCCTGTTCCTAAGGAAGAGAGCTGCACCACAATTCTGTGACAGAGAACAATTTCAGCTAAAGACTAAAAACCAGAGACCACTTTTAGGGGAAGGGGCAGGAAGAGAGAAGCTATAGATCATTTAAAAAGTGAAAAGTCGGAAACTGCGGATCATAAAATTATACACAATTACAATTATGCCCCCCCAAAAATACAATTGACTTAAGTGATAATTTAATCCAACTCCCTCCCTTTACAAAAGGGAAAACTGAGGCCAAGGGATGGTAAATACCTGGGGGTTTGAATTCCCATGTACTCTGGCTACAAATCTAAGAATCTTTCTACTATGTATTCCACAGTACTAGCGGAAGAACAAAGGTGCCTCTTTTTTTTAATTGTAGACTACGATAACCAAGCACATAGCAGAATACTACAAAGGCCAAACACACTCATATAAATGACTATTAGAACTAAATAAGATATGTATTAATGAGATGCATATTTGTTTTGCTCTATGGTAATTAGGCATAAATGGTAGGCAATTCACATAAATGACTGTAATTAGCATTCAGTCTTTTTTTAAGGTGCCTGGGAGGCTGGTTCACAAGGAACTTTTGCAAAGTCAAAATCAGTTTTCATTTCATTTCTTCTTGTTTTCTGAGTTCTCCAGTCTCTACACTCAGCATTAGTTATGAATTTTCCTTCTTATCAACACCATTTAATAATTAAGCATCACCTGTCCTTCACATAGACCTCATCCTGATCTTCTGGAAGTTGCCTATGGCTCTCTTGAACAGGGAGTTTAGAATCCCCTACTAATTAGTTGCTATCTGAAAAGATTATTTGGTCTTTTTTTCTGAAATAAATTACTTTGAAGCTAAAATCAAATTCATCTGTATTTATTCTTCCTTACATTAAAAAAAAGAAAGATTAAGAAATATTCATTTTTGAAGAAAAATAAAGGTTCTTAAATCCAGCTTTTCCCCCTCACCACAAAGTGGTACTCACTCCGGCTAAACTATACATTTCATGAAGGTAAGGACCAATCTAAACTTTGTATCTTCAACAGCCTTAGCTTAGGACATGGCACACCCCATTCCCACCTCACCCCCAATCTCTTTCTAACACCAGTTCAACTGCCAGAAATCTCTTTAATAAGAGCTAAAGCTTTGTTCTATGGAGAAAGATAAAAGTAAGCCTTTTTTGCATTTGCAACTTGGGGTTGTTGGTGTTTTTTTATCCTGTGCTTGGGTGGGAAGGGGAAATCCTGAAGAACTGAGCAGGGAAGGGTGGCGACAACCCACTTTGGCAACTGTGTGGTAGATGGATTAGAGAGGGGAGAAACTGGAGGCAAGGAGACCAACTCAGACTATGAAGGAGCCTGAACTAGGACAACAGGACTTGGCAGCTGGCTGGATGTCAGGGCTAAGCACCGGGGAAGAACCAAATCTAGAAGACATAATCAGACACCGCACCGCTCCCTTTAGAGGTGAAAAAACTCAATAGGAAAGAGAGTGACTTGCCCAGGGTCACAAGGGCAGGAAAGAACAGTTCTTTAACAACCAGTTCAGTCTATTATATACTAGATCACATTGTTTCCTATGAAATGCCAGTTAGGAAGAAATGTTGCTTGAAAACTCAAGAGACCAGGGATGGAAATAGAGATCAATGCTTTTAAAAATAGAAAGTGTATGTAACAGAAGTTCATGGTTTCACATACATTTCTTTTCTTTCTTTCTTTTCTTTTGGGGGGGGGGGGGGTGAATACTGGAATATTTGTGTTTGAGGATGCCCTGGAGTCAGGAGGACTTGAATTCTAATCTGGCCTCAGACACTTGACACTTCCTAGCTGTGTGACCCTGGGTAAGTCACTTAACCTTAATTGCCTCACAAAAAAACAAAAAACAAAACAACAACAACAAAAAAACAGCCCCCCCCCCCCCCCCCCAACATATAGACTGGTAAAGTATATGCTATAACTAATGCAGGCAGACACACCTTGACTGAATGGGCAGCAAACCAATCAGCTCCCCTATGGCCCATCCAGTCCAAAGCTTAAAAACCAGAACTTTTGAGCATTAAGATCCTAGTCTCCCAATCCCTATTCATGTTCTCCAACCTCTGTTACTGAGAACTTATAGAAGAGAACCTCATACAAAGGTTTATACAGAGACCTGCAGTAAAGAATTTAAAGGTTCTTGTCTGCCCTGAGTTCCAAACCCACATGTCCAACTAAGAGAAGAGCAGCTCTACCTGGCTGCCCCCATTGGCATCTCTTAGGAGGTAGCCAGACTGCTGGAGTAGAAAGGGTACCGAACTTCGAGTTAGTGGAGGCAGGAAAGCAACTGGCTCCACTGTTCCAAATAAGCTATTTCCGAAAGCAGGAGATCCTGGCATATAGGGTCAAGCAGAACGTCCAGGAAAAGGGACAAATGAGGTCCAGCAGCAAGGTCTTGAAGTAAACACTCTTTGGCTTTCCCCAAAGAGAAGAGCATCAGGTGATCCTTAGAATGTAGAGTTTGAGAACCCCTCCAAGAGACCTACCTGGGTCCCACTGCCACGCATGATGTCCTCTGGAATGGCATAGATCTGGTTCTCCATTTCTACTTTCTGGAGGCCATTGTCTGTTACTCTCACTCTCAGCACACGGAAGTTGGTTCCTCCAAGGTCCAGAGCAAGGAAGTCTCCGTCTTCTGCAGAGAGGAAAAGAAAATGTATTTCCTGGCACTTTTCTCTGAAGGTCAAAGGGATTTGAGATTGTGTGATTTGATCAACTTCCTTACTTAGAAAACTTCATGGGTAAGGAGACAATAACTGAGCAGAGCTTCACCATCACAGACAGCAGCAAGATTGGGAACATTGCCCAGTGGTGAGTTCAGTGCAATGCTCTATACACCTAATTAACACTAGATAAATGCTTTTTGACTTACTACATAATCATCCATTGAAAAAACATTTTCATGGCTCTGCCAGCGGCAGAATCCTGCATACAGTGTACCTTCTGTGCATGAACACAGTATGGAATGCATGCAGAAGAGTTGGGTTTAAACCTAGATCAACCACCTTACCACCTGTGTCCACTTTAGGCAAATCCCTTCATATTTCTGGGTTTTCTTGCTTCCTTATTTAAAAGCCAAGACAGACAGCAGGAGGAGGTAGCTGAGCCGCAGGGGCTCTGAAGTGGGGTCAGAGTGGTGACTATCCAAGGACCTCTAAGTCAGTGCTTCCCAAGGAGGCTATAGGACAGACCACTACAAATAAAAGGAACCCTTAGGCTATGTAAATCCTGTGCCTCCTAGAGGGCCCCACCTTCCATAACTCCAGGCTCTCAGAAGCTCAAAGAGGGCAAAGACTGCAAGAGGAAGGAGGGAACTGGAATGGGAAGAGCAGATAAGAGAGAAGGAATCTATTTTAGGCCTTTAAAAGTAAGGAACCTTAGCCTTTTAGGAAGCAGTAAAATTCATCCAGGAAACAGTAATTGTGAAATACAGCTTTAGCAAATACAGAGAAAAGAGAACGTACAATCTACGTGGGGTCGGCACAGTCTGGACCCTGGGAAGCCACATAATCTTGGAGGAGGACTACAAACAAAAGTGTTTATGAACTTGTATACAATGTGCTAAAGGAAGACCTAGGAATGATGGGGTTGTAATCTGAGCCCTAGAAAGGAACAACTCTGGCCCCAGACCATTCCCCACCCTTGGTAATTCTATTACCTCAAGGACCCTGGACTTTCCCAAGGCCAAATCTCTGGCGTTCCCCTGAGGCTATAATCCCATAAACCGGCCTTTCATTGTGGCTACACCCAATCTCCCTTGGCCTTCCTTTGTTTTACTTCCCTATGGCCCCTGGCCATTTCCCACACTTAATCCTAGCTAGGCTCCATTGTCCAGGTCCCAGGAGTTCTGTTCACCCCAGCTTACTGGCCACTCCCATCCAGATCTCCTTAGACCTCTCATCCAGTCACCCCAAACTACTTGGCCACTCCTAGATGCCTCCCACAGTCTTTCTGTATATAACGTCCATCTTGTCTCCATTAAAATGCTCTGATTCTTAGAATCTAGCCAATAGCCCATAGATGCTCAGACTCATAAGAGTCTAGCTAATATGGCGAATCTTCAATAAACCTTGTTTTTGGCTGCAAGAAGGCTTGGATCGAATTCTTTCAGGCAGGACGCGGTTATCGTGATTTTGGGGTGCCAGGACCCCTAACCTCTAGACCTCAACAGGAAGAGTACATCCAAAAGAGCTTGAAAATCTCAAGGATCAAAGACTTCAATAATACCACCTAGCTTTTTGTTGGGAAGAATGGCAGTCTTTGTGATGTAGTCAGGCTTCTACAACAGCCCTAAAAAGTGGGTCTCTGCTTACACATTTCCAGTGATGGAGTTCACTGACTCCCAGGCAGTTCATTCCCTTGTTGGACAATAGCTCTAATTATTTAGAAATGTCTTCTGTATATAGAACTAGAGAGACATCTTCTGTAATTTCCAGGCAAGGTTCCAGCTTTGTCCTCTAGGGCCACACAGGATACTGTATGGGTCCCCTAGAACATAAGTTGGCAACTTTATTATGAGATCTGAAAAGAAATCTATAGACATCCACAGAAACATAATAGAATCATAGGCCATGTTCAGAATTTATGTAAGCCAGTTTTGTTTATTTGTTATCCTGCTTTGGAGACTGTGAATGTTCTCCCCATCTTTCAATAAAAATTCTTCAGAGGTGGTAGTCTGGTAGGATGAGTAGAGTGCCACATTTGGAGTCAGGAAAGCCTGGGTTCAAAGCTTGCTTTAGATACATACTCATAAAAGCTAGTTTTGTATAGTGCTTTTAAGGTTTGCAAAGTGCTTTACAAATATAGTCTCATTTTATCCGGACAACACTGGGAGGTAGGTGTTATTATTATCCCATATTCCAAATGGAAAAACTGAGCTTAGGGATGGTTAACTGACTTGCCCAGGCCCTCCTCACTTTGAATCCTGCAGCCAGCTACATGGTCAAGTCCTTTAATTTCTCTGGATCTCAGCTGCTCATCTATAAAATTAAGTGGTTAAATCAAATTGCTTCTAAATCTATGGTCCTATGTAATAGGACTGTAATAATGATGATAGCTTACATGTACATAGCACTTGAGGATATACAGAACACTTTTATCTGGTCTTCACAAAAATACCCAGGTTGCTGTACTCTGGACACAATCCAGTTTCTTAACAGTTGAATACAGTACTCTAGAAAAGGAATACTGACTAATGTAGAATAACAACAGGACTGCCCTTATCCTGGACACCACATTTGTAATAATTAACATAACTCTTATATTAAATGGGACTTTTTTTTTTAAGCAGCCCCATCCCAGTGAACTTATAGTCAACTAAATGCCTTTTTTCAAAAGGGCTGCACGTTTAAGCTGTTCTTCTGTATTCTCTAACTGTTCAACTGAGTAACTGTAGGACAAATGCAGGTTTCTTCTTTTAACTTGGCCCATGATGCCAGCCTTTGGAGATCTAGATCCTCTGATCCCTCTCAGCTCTGTGTCATATGCTAATCTATAAGTCTGCTAAATATACTGTCAGGACCACAAAGTTCCAGGTACTCTCCTTTAACCAATGCTTGCAATCAACCTAAACACTTTTTAGCTGTAGGAAGCAATTCTCAAGACTACCCACCCCGATAGTAACCTAGTAACACTATTCCTTGTTAACAGAGTCAATGCAGATTTCAGTTAGAGCCCTCCAACACCTGGGAATTCTTCAGGCCTTCCCTTTTCTGCCCTAAATTGTTCCCTACCCAGATGACCTCTTCAGATAAATGTCCTCTGATCGATATACGACTGGCTTTGGATGGTTGCACTATCAGCCAGCCCACACGGTGTCAACACAAGTTACGCCAAATACTCTGTAACACCACAATGCACTATGTCCACAGAATTCCTCTGATCAAAAAGGAAACAACCTGGAAAGCAAATTTCCAAATTCACCATGCCTCTCTCTGGCAATGCTAAAAGATAAATACTTGCTCCTCTTTCTATGTCATAGCCACCTCTTTCATGATGCCTTCCAAAACACCCTCTCATTCATTGCTAACACCAGGTAAAAGCAATCCTCTTCAAATTTCTCCTAGCTTTTTCCGCAGACTGTCTCCTTCACGGAAACTTAACTGATCTTCCTTTGTGTCATAGCACTTAAGTAAATGCCTTTTTCCCTCAAATTCTAAGTTTCATAAGAGTAGGTTCTGTTATTCATATTCGTTTGTATACAGATAACTATGTATAGATTTAACTTTGTACCACCAATTATGTGAGAAAATTAGTTCCCACCCCATTCTTCCCCTTTTTTCCCCTCAGTATATTTTTTCTTCCCTTCTCTTTCTTCTTTTAAAATCAACCTAACATAACAAAAATTATTCCCAGGCCTTCAATCTTATTTAACTACCTCTATGACCCTGCTGGTGTTATGGTTTTCAGGGGGATATGCTTATCATCACAGCCTTCCTCTCAATTAGAATGGTGAAGGTGGTACCTTGGAAAGTTAAGAGAGATTAGGAGGTTTAGCATACCACCACCACCACCCCACCCATGGAGAGTGGGCTCTTCAATTAGAAAGGAGTAGTATGATTTGCTTTACTGCAGTAAATATTAGGTAAGATAAATTTTAGTGGTCCCAGCATTCTCTAGCTTTCACTGGCAGTATATAAAAGTTAGGCATACAGAAGATAGGCAGAATCCAGGGCTGAGGTTGGGCCAAAAGTGATTAAACAGTGACAGAGGAAACCTAATCAAATCTTCTAATTCCAAATCTAGCATTCCTTCCACTACACACACATCTTGTCCAAGCTAGATCTGAGGAAGAGTACCATGTCCATCTACCACGAGACAAGCTCTGCTGGAAGCCTGGGAATGATGCGGCACTCACCTCTCCTGAGGCAAGCCAATCCACTGGGCAATAGCCAATTGTTAATTAGTACATTTTTCCTTGCATCAAGGCTAAATTTGTCTCACTGCAACTTCCACTCACTACCCTTCATTCTGGACCAGGCAGAATGAGAAGAAGCCCTTTCCACATAACACATTCAAATCTCAGGAGGTGGTTGTTTCTCTTAGGCTTCCCTTCCTCCGGAGTAAACGTCCAGCTTCTTCCACTGATCCCCAGTTTCCTCAATACCTTTGTCACTTTTCTCTTGGCATTCTTCAGCTTGGTAATATTCTTTCCAAATATGGGATCTTGAACCAAAAATAATACTCTAGGCAGCACAACCAGAGTTTTAGAAAGTGAGGGAAAGGGAAAGGTGATAAGCATTTGTACCCATAGTGCTGGGCACCATACTTCAGGAGGGAGCGGCTATTATTTTCCTCATTCTAAAGTTGAAGTAAACACATATTAAATGACTTGCCAGGGTCACACAGCTAAGTGTCTCGAGTCTGATTTGAACTCAAGTCTTCCTGACTCCAAGCCCAGTGCTCTGTGCACGATGATGTAGGAGAGATGAGTACAGTAGACACTAAGCGAAGTCTTATGCTTTACAGTTTTATGGGCTACATCTATCAGTATTTAAAGCTGTCCCAATGGGATAGGCTGAAGCAATAAGCATCCCATCAGTCTCCTCCTAAAAGGAGATCTGTGAATTGAACTGAATTCACTACACATTGCTAACTAATTCTAAAGACCACCTATGGCATTGCCACAAATATCAC